AAGAATACATCCAATACACATTTTGTGTGATTTTGTGGCCACATTTCTCCCCATCTCTTCCCACAACACATTTTCTTTTCCACTTCTATGTAATGAAAGTTTTTCCAAATGTCGTTTCTTCTTTTTCTCCCAACAGACCCCAGCTGGTCGGCCATCTTAACTTTCTCTCTGTCAGACTTCGTTTGTTGTTGTCTATTAAAATAATGCCGCGAGTGGGACTTAAGGAAGTGACGTCACCTGCGTCTGCGCAGTGCGACCTGAAGCAAGACAGGGAAAAGAAATACTGCAAAATAATAACACGACTAAACGAGACGAAATAACGTTATAACATTTCGTTTCGTCTCGTTTTGGTCAACGAAAATGAAGAGACATTTTAGCATAGTTTTTATTTTGTAAACCACATTTAGTCTCGTTTTTTCGTCAACGATAATACATTATACATCTAATTATAGTCATCGTCACATGACCAGCATTTACGTTGCGTCTCGTCTCGTTTTCGTCACGTGATAAAGGTTCGTAGTCATAATTTTCTTTGGCAAAAGCAACATTAGATACCAACAGTTTATAATTTTCGTCCCTTGGCCCAGATGATCTCTGATACTGACATGGTTACCTTTTCTTTGCTGATGCATTTTGATAACACACAGTAATATTTGTACCAACCAGAGCTGTTTACCTGCTCTGACTTCCTGCGTTCACGGCCTTTTTCAGAAGATGCATTAGCACTGGTTATTTCATGGGCTTGAACTGCTCACATGATAAAAGAAATTGGGGTGTTGTAAATCTTCTAACGGTACTGTACAGGTTGGAGTTAGGTTAACCCTACATGTAGACACTGACAGGGTCTCTGTAAGGACTTCTGACAAACATGGTGTGTCTGTTTTTTAATGAAAGTATTGTCTGTGGACACAACTTTGCCAGACCAGCAGTGAAGACCTCCATTCTGCACAGAGACAAGACGATGAAACCATCGATCTTCCCACAAGAGGTGCCACAACATCAGCTGATCAAAGCAAAATGTCGTCTCCCACAGCTCAGCCCGAGAAGAGGAAGCGTGGCCGACCTCGGCTCAAAGAAGAACCAACTCAGCACTATTTCAGGATCTGCATGCTGGAGGATTCCTCATCAGACGTCTCCTCTAAACATGGTGAACTAATTCATCCTTTAGATGAATTTCTCAGTGTTCAGTGTCTTCCAGGTTGTTGATCTGGAACTCGTGGGGAATTTTTCTATTTCAGTGTTGCAGAGATCCTCGGTACAGGACCTGAAGTGTCCTCGCGGTCTCCACGAGGCAGACTTCCTGGCCCTGCTGAGGTCCACTGTCCCCCAGCTGGCTGGAGACGAACCTTTCAGCATCTTCAAATGCAACAGAAGCAGGCAGCTCCAGAGGCTCAATGTAAAGAGTCTGACCCCAGAGGAGATCTCCAGGACTGTGAAGGGCCCCGGGGCCTTGCTCTACGTCAGACTGAAGGTACTGATACTGTAGTAGTCTGGGTCCTGTTCAGCTTCTTCTCGTAGTAGTACACTGTCATAGCAGGGACAGCAGCTTCACAGTTTTCTTCAGCTAACATTTAGTGATCATGTGGATTAAAATGAACATGAGCAACATCAGCTTTTAAGGAAAAGGTTCTTATGTTTTGCTAAAAACTATTGTGTGAACAAACCCTTGCAGACAGGAAAGGAGGAGGAGGATGAAGATGATGAATGTGACCTTTTGCTGAGAGACTATGACGCCACTGATGCTGTAGTGATGAAGAGTGGGGACGCCAGGCTCAGTTCAAGGTAATTTGGAAAACATCAGGATTTGATATTTTAGTTTATTTAAAGCAGTGTTCAGTCATCAGCAGGACCAAAGGTGAATATTCACATTGGAAAAAGTACAGAAACATCAGTTTGTTCTCTCTGTTAGAACCAGACCAATGCAACATTTTTTAGATATATGAGGTTAAAAAACTAAACTAGACTGATGCATCAGCCCGTACTAATGGTGGACGCACCAAAGAAAACCTTTGCGGATCTTACCTCGTAATTATCAGATGTTTTTCATGTAATAAGGAGAAAATACGTTGTAATTCTGCAGAACCTGCCTGAAACTCATCAGGTTTTAACTGATTATTTAGGGAGGTGACAGTGGTGCAGTGGGTAAAGCAGTTGTCTCCCAACCGGAAGGTTGAAGGTTTGAATCTTGGTGCCTGCGGTCGAAGTGTCCTTGGGCAAGACACTGAACCCCCCGTTGCCCCCGATAGTTAGAGCTGGCACCGCAGATGGCTGCCATCGGTTCTGTACCGGAAACAAATTTCTTGTGTGTAACATACTTGGCCAGTAAAGGTGATTATCTGATTAGTATCAAAGTGATTCAGTGATGGTTGTCAGTACAGCCAGTAGTGCACAGCAAACAGGACCTGTTAATAGCTAACTTGGTGAATTTAGTGTCCCAAAATGTAAACAAATATAGATTACCAACAGTACATTACATGTTAAGTCACTTGTGTGAAGCAGGCTATGTAACGTTGCCATGGATACGGTGTCTTACAATGGGGGCACCATCTTTAGTCCTATTGTTTAGGTTTTGAGACCAAAGCTTCAGATTTCTTTTAGGAAAAGGGTTGATACCAAACGTGATTTTGGTTTCCTCCGCTGGAGAGCAGCTTCGTATGTTTGGATGGGATTTTCCATTTTTTTAGTAACTCACAAGTCCAGTGTTTAATTTTCTGTCAAACGCCTTTCAGGTTGTCGTCTCCCACAGCTCAGCCCGAGAAGAGGAAGCGTGGCCGACCTCGGCTCAAAGAAGAACCAACTCAGCACTATTTCAGGATCTGCATGCTGAAGGATTCCTCATCAGATGTCTCCTCTAAACATGGTGAACTAATTCATCTTTTAGATGAATTTCTCAGTGTTCAGTGTCTCCTAGGTTGTTGATCTGGAACTCGTGGGGAATTTTTCTATTTCAGTGTTGCAGAGATCTTCGGTACAGGACCTGAAGTGTCCTCGCGGTCTCCACGAGGCAGACTTCCTGGCCCTGCTGAGGTCCACTGTCCCCCAGCTGGCTGGAGACGAACCTTTCAGCATCTTCAAATGCAACAGAAGCAGGCAGCTCCAGAGGCTCAATGTAAAGAGTCTGACCCCAGAGGAAATCTCCAGGACTGTGAAGGGCCCCGGGGCCTTGCTCTACGTCAGACTGAAGGTACTGATACTGTAGTAGTCTGGGTCCTGTTCAGCTTCTTCTCTTAGTAGTACACTGTCATAGCAGGGACAGCAGCTTCACAGTTTTCTTCAGCTAACATTTAGTGATCATGTGGATTAAAATGAACATGAGCAACATCAGCTTTTAAGGAAAAGGTTCTTATGTTTTGCTAAAAACTATTGTGTGAACAAACCCTTGCAGACAGGAAAGGAGGAGGAGGATGAAGATGATGAATGTGACCTTTTGCTGAGAGACTATGACGCCACTGATGCTGTAGTGATGAAGAGTGGGGACGCCAGGCTCAGTTCAAGGTAATTTGGAAAACATCAGGATTTGATATTTTAGTTTATTTAAAGCAGTGTTCAGTCATCAGCAGGACCAAAGGTGAATATTCACATTGGAAAAAGTACAGAAACTTAATTGTTTTTTTTAAACAGCAACAAGAAGCTAAAAGATTCTGATCTTGTAATTAGGACAAAATGTTAAACATTAAGTCCCTCAAGTGAACAGAAACATTGACAAGACACAGGAAGTAGTCTATAAAATATGTAACGTTGCCATGGATACAGTGGGGCCACCATTTTTAGCCCAGGCCTATTTGTTTAGAACACTACGTACACTGAGTCAGCGATTAGCATTTCATTTTACTGTCGGATTTATGAAGAAATCTTAAAATCCCAGTGTTTCTCAAGCAGGTTCTGAATCTAGCTCCTGTTCACTACATGTTCATAGTGTTATGTTGTAGGCAGCAGCTTTGAGGCCTGTTTGTAACCTATATTTGTTTATGGAACACTAAGTTCACCGAATTAGCTATTAACAGGTCACGTCTGTCAGTACAGCCAGTAGTGCACAGCAACCATCATTGAATTACTTTGATACTAAACCTGATGATTTTCAGGTTCTGCACCATTACAATGCCATATAATCTCCTAGTTACAAGATAAGCTCCTCCAGTTTTTTCTTTAGTGAATACTATGTGCATCCATAAATTGCCTTTATACAACTTTTGCATACAGTTCTCATAATTAAACTCTGAAAACAAAAATGCCATTATACTTGTGCATGAAGTAAAGTACAACTTCTGCTCTGCAGTAGCCTGGTTCGATGTGGAGATGGTAAGAGAGTGGCCGCTCCATCCCACCACTTAACACTCCAACCGGACATGGACACAGAGGAGGCTGATGATGAGGGCAACATGGCCTCCAGCACTGATAAGGACGATGACGACGACTGGAAACCAGATCAGACCAGCAGGAAGCGAGCGCCCAGGTCTACTGTCGAGAGGAGCAAAGCGTCCTGTAAAGTCTGTGGAGTGTGGTACAAGATCCAGGGCAGCCTGATCAAACACGCCTGGAGTCACGTGGAAGAACCTCAGTGTGCTTGTGGCGTGTGCGGAGAGCATTTCCAAGCTGTGGAAGAAATAAAGACACATCTTAGAAACCACCAGAAAACTTTTGACTGTTTATACTGTGGCAAGTCTTTCTTCACTGCCGCTAGCCTCAACAACCACACCACCCTGCACACAGGAAACAGACTGTTTAAATGTGATGAGTGCAACAAAACCTTTGCTCACAAGTATCGACTGAGGATTCACAGCTGGGTCCATGTGGTGGAGAAACCATACAAGTGTGATGTTTGCCCGAAAACGTTTGGCCTGAAAGCACAGCTCAGAGCCCACAGCAAGATGCACGCCGGTAGAGACAAGTATCACTGCCACATCTGTGGTAAGTTTGTCTATGACCTGCGATCTTTAACGCGCCACAAGGCGACTCACTCGGTGGAGAGACGTTATGGCTGTGAGATTTGTGGGAAGCGTTTCAAGGTCATCAGCACATTGAAGGCGCACGAGAAGATCCACACAGTCAGGGAGCGGCCGTACCTCTGCCACATCTGCTGCAAAACCTTCCTGTCAAACTGTGGCTTAAAAGCTCACATGATGACACACGAAGGCGAGAGGCCGTTCATCTGCATCGTATGTAGCAAGGGCTTCATCTCCAATGGCGAGCGGAAGACGCACATGCGAATCCATACTGGCGAGGCACCGTACGGCTGCTCTGAGTGTGGCCGCTTTTTTAAACGTAAGAGTCACCTAAACAACCACATCAAGTGCCACCTGGGCATCAAACAGTTTGTCTGCACTGTCTGTGGGAAGGCATGCTCCCGTCAAGAACACCTGACGGTCCACATGAGGACCCACAACGGAGAGAGACCTTACCAATGCACTCTGTGCGACAAAGCCTTCACTCAGAGCCACTGTCTGAAAACACACATGAAGAGCCACCAGGGGGGACAGAGGTAGATGCCCTGAGCTTTAGTTTCCATTCCTGTCCAAACGAAAGACGAAGAGTAGCAGTGGAAAGCAACTCAGTACATTTCAGCACAGTCCCGTCCCAGGGCTTTGTGTCCCATGCAGACACTGAGGGGTGCCTGTGCCATCTGTGTGAGACAACAGGCGCCGACGTCACAAGACAAAACATCAGTAAACACTTTAGCTCCACTGGCCTGATACAGAGGTCAGAGGTTTCCCTAAATCTGACCCAGATCTGTCTCACCCAGCCGGAAAACCAGTCCCCGGATCCACCCGTGTCCTAAAAGACATTTCTCTGCTGGCTCTGTCGGGAAAAAGATGGACGTAGTTTTGACAGGGCTGCGTCTCGAACCTTCGTTCTTTAGCACCAAATGGGAAAAATCTGGTCACGTTTGTTCTCATTCTGTAACTTAAATCAGTGTTTACCTGTATTTTCTTCTTCCACCAAAGGCTGAATGTCAGAACAGGTACCAAAACTTTTCAAGTCACAGTGTGAAATGTGACCAGACAAACAGCTGTTGTTTACTCAAAGTCCTTGTACATTCAAACAGCCTTTGCTAGGAAAAAATAAATTGAGCAGTGAATTTACAGAATTAACAAGTGATACCAAAACTCAGGCACCGTTTAGAGTTAAGGGATAAGAACACAAAGAATTTAATTGTTTAAACAATCTGAACACTTTGTAAATACTGTATCATGTATATAGTTCTGTACTTCATGTCATTTACTACTCTCAGCTCACGTATATATCACTACAAACACAAGTCTATTAAACAGTTTCTAGAAGGCAACGCCTTGGTAGCATGATTAAACCTCACATACTAAAACTCTACTATCTTTTTTGAATGTTTCTCCTCATCCACTGTAGCTAATGTTGCATTCAGAGCCAGTGGGGAAAAACCAGGTGATGATTCTTTCTTTTATAAATGTTTTGGTACCTGTGGTGAACATGACATCAGAATGCTTCAAAATCCCACAGTCACAAACGCAACATATGAGGCCGGTCATTTTCTGTGTTAACACTATTTTCATCAGCCCCAAACAGGGACTAAAACCAACAGCTTCTACTCAGTTAATATTGGTCAGTCCTGGATCAGCTGGTTCGTCTCTGCAATAGACCTCCACTGTTGTTCAAAAGCCCATCAGGGAAACACCGCTGCACTGGGTAACGCATTTCCTTATTGCGAAACATTTAGGAGTGTCCAGAGACCTCCAAATATAAGGGTCTGGTGTTTTGTAATGAGGACAGGTGTCACCCAGCACAGCGGCGTGCTTCCCTGACGTCTTTAGAATCATTTTTGATGGTCAGTGGCACAGACAAACAACCTAACCCAGGACTGACAGACATTAACCACGAGTAGAGGCCAATATTGTTTGGTTTTAGTCTTCGTATGTGGGGGTGCTGAAACTGAATGGCCTTATCCTCTAAACATTTTAGTTTTCCATCTGCAGCACAATGAAAAGCATACAGTACTTCACTGTAAAACTGTGAGCCTGTGTACCTGCCATCATGTTGTATTTGTGGCCAAAATAAACTTCCTGTGAAAAATCCAAAATGCTATTTTGTACAACATACCAGCATTAAACTGTACTTTCTGGGGAAAGTAAATGTATTTACTTGTGTTGTTGTTTGCACTCTAAAGAATGACAAAAGGCCTCAGCACGTACCGTCAGGGTGCTGATGTCTGTCGATCACGGCAGCTCCAGCATGCCATGTTCAGCCAGTATTTGCTGAGTTCTCGTGTGCACCAGCGTCAGGGCATGGATGATGATGCGCAGGATGGGCACAGCCTCCTGTTGGTTCTGAACACAAACCAGCTGTAGGAAGTACTGCCGGTCTGGGAGAGCGAGGAAGACGAACTCGGCAGCCTGACGGAGCACCCAGGGGTGGTGGGGGGCCAACGCCACCATGTAGGCGTCCCTGAGGGGAAGCAGACCAAACACAGACTGATTCTTCTAGGAGTGGGGATGGTTCTCATTTTCTATTGTGACAGTGGCACGAGGGGGGGGGGCTTTAGTTGCTATAAAATAATGGCCGACTTACAACATTGCTAACAGTGAATATAACAATATGATAAACATATTAGCGCTCTAATTTCTGTCAATAAATGAATCAGAATTCAACCTGTTTGAGCTGAAGAGACGATCCGTGGTTTGTTTTGTAAAAACAGTGACCCCATTCTGTTTTGAGGGGGGGGGGGTTTAGTTGCTATAAAATAATGGCCGACTTACAACATTGCTAACAGTGAATATAACAATATGATAAACATATTAGCGCTCTAATTTCTGTCAATAAATGAATCAGAATTCAACCTGTTTGAGCTGAAGAGACGATCCGTGGTTTGTTTTGTAAAAACAGTGACCCCATTCTGTTTTCCGACAGCACTAGTGGTTGTTGAACACACCACAGACCATGAGTGATGAGGTTCTTACCTACTGAGCTCTCCAGGTGTCCTGTATTGTCCGTCTGCATCCGGTCCCTCAGCTAGACCCTCCAACATCAGCTTCAACCACAGCAGAGATCGATGCAGCCTCAGCAGCGTCCTGCAGCCCGAATCTGTGCGATGGGAGAAGTCGACTGCGCCTGCTTTTAGCTCCATCTCCACCATGGATCGAACTGAACGATACGCCTCAACAGGAACATAAGAAAATCAGCTGTAAATTCCACCTCTTCATATCATCCAGTCACGTGTTTGTGACAAACCATCTCTCACCCCGTTCCGTACTGGGGATTGTAGTCTAGGGCGTTCAGCTGGACCACGTATCCCATGAGCCTCTGCGCTGTGCTTGAGTGACAGCTGTTGTATCAATACAACCTTTTCTTTGACCTTCTGAGAGAAGAAACTGGCCATTGTTCCGAGAGACTCCATGAATCTGAGGAAAGAGAAGAAAAGTGACGAATGAGATTCATCTGCAGAAATTAGATGACCCATCCTCGTATCTTTACAAACGTTTTTCACTGATTTCATCTTCCAGTTGTGACCTTAGATCAAAAGGAACATCAGCTGTTTGTCTGCTCAGACAGAGACAGGACAAAGTTTTCGTGCTTGCTTTCTAACAGATTTGCATCATGTATGTACACCATCATTGTTGATGTCAACCTTGACTCTGACCCCTACGCACGCTCCTGCAAACATAACGGTTCTGCTGTGTTAGCATTAACAGGGAGATGCCTTGTATCAAACCCAGCGCTCCCTTTTCCTCACTAAAGTAATGTGCTACATCACGTGACAAGCTGCACAGAGGAAGAGAAGGCCGATTCAAAAACAAGGTTCAGTGTGTTGGATGGTGAAAGATATTCAATACCACCGACACATGCAACTGATTTTCAAACGCTGTGCTGACTGTCCTAAACACCTGCTGCTGAACAAGCAGTTGAGAAAGAAATAAATCATTTTGCAGCAACAACGGATTTATGGTCAAGCCAAACTATGGAAACATTTCAAAATCCGTTTTATTACTATTGATTTCATCATGAAAACCGTTTTCCCCGGTCAATAACCCTCAGTGCAACACCTGTAAATATACATTTTACATATAGATCTGTTGAATCCAGACTGTGTGTATACATATATTTACACACATACATACATATATATATATATGTATCAGGTCTCTATCTCTAAGCACTTTACTCTCACCTCTTTTCCTAATGCACATTCCTTTGCTTATTGACATCTACATGCACATTGAGATCCGATGTACCAGAGTCAAATTCCTCGTGTGTCCAACACACCTGGCCAATAAAGCTGATTCTGATTCTACAAACTAAAGCCTACTTTTATGTGTCAAGGTTATTTTTCATAGCTACATTCTTAAAACACAGAATCCACCAAAACAATAAAAGCCCACTAGTTCCTATCAGAACTTAAACAACATAGAGAAATGCAGCAAGTAAACAGTTAAAACAAACTGTGTTTACAAACTAAAACAAACAATTTCCCATTTTTCAAATTCTGGGGGGACGGCCCTTAGCCCTCGTCTGGAGTTGGCATTTTGGTCAAGCCAAACTGAACTGTAGCTATAGAAAATGAGTGCCACTCAAGTCAATGAAGAATTCTTGCTGGTTTTCTTTAATTCAAATTTTAGTTAGGCCTAAATAGCTCTGCCATTTATAAGGTTATGATGTCCCGTGCATCATCTAGCCATGCTTTGCTTTCTGCAGCGCCTGAAAAGCCCTGAACTCTAAAACAGTCGGACTACACAGTTCTGTCTCTTCACGTTTTCAGCAGCTATTTTCTAGCATGTCTTCTTCTTCTTTCAGCCGTTAGGGGTCACCACAGTGAATCATCTGTTTCCACCTAACTCTATCCTCAGCATCCTCTACTCTCACCCCAGTTAACTTCATGTCCTCTTTTAGCACATCCATATATCTCCTCTTTGGCCTTCCTCTTGACCTCTTGCCTGGCAGCTCCATCTCCAACATCCTTCTACCAATATAACCACTATCCCTCCTCTGCACATGTCCAAACCATCTCAATCTGGCCTCTCTGACCTTGTCCCCAAAACACATAGCTGGTCTCACTACTGTCTTGTACACCTTTCCTTTGATTCTTGCTGCCACTCTTCTGTCACACAACACTCCTGACACCTTTCTCCACCCACTCCAACCTGCCTGCACTCGCCTCTTCACCTCTTTCCTACACTCCCCATCACACTGGACTGTTGACCCCAAATACTTAAACTCCTGCACCTTCTTGACCTCAGCCCCCTGTAACCTCACTGTTCCACTTCCCTCCCTCTCGTTCATACACATGTATTCTGTCTTACCACGACTGACTTTCATTCCTCTTCTTTCCAGAGCAGACCTCCACCTTTCCAGGTGTTCCTCCACCTGCTCTCACTACAGAGCTATTTTCTAGCATGTATGTGTTCAGAAACAAATCACTGATTTGGCTTTTCTCGGGCTTTAACGTTAAAACGACACCAGCTTTGTGCCGGGTCACATGCACTTTGTCCACATCCCCCAGTTTCACAAAAAACGCAGCCTGTGAGTTTACACGCCAACTTCTGAGTCTCCACAGAGAAAGGCCAGGGCCCACATGCTAACAGGCTAGGCTAACGACAGCAAGTCGAAGGCGTTAATCAGCTCTCACAAACACAACAGAACAACGCGAAGCTAATGTTACACACACGCAAGAAAACTGAAAACTATGACCCCATGTTTGTGGGGGTGTATCAAAACAAAGTGAGCTTTGATAGCTGAACGCTTACCTGTTTCTGATTGTGCTAGGACTCAGCTAACATCCCGGAGTGAGATGCTACACTTCCGTTTTCCGACTCGGCCATAAAATCCACCAACATGAATCAAGTCCCGGTTTTCAGCAGCCATGGCGCGTTTAGGCGGCTTCGTTGGGAGTCACGTATAAAATATATTTAAAAAGAAGCTGTTCCGTAACTACCACAGATAGCTACCGCCGCCATGTTTGTTGAAGGGATGTGACGTCACGAGGCTATAAAGAAAGAGAGGGCCCTCTAGCGGCCGTCATTTTGGACAGAAGTCAAATTTGGGAATTCAGTTTTTGGTGTACATGGTCATTGTAGGGGACGTTTACATGGAGAACAACAAATTTAATTAACTTAATTGTAATTCAAGGCAAATATTTTCTACACAAATGCAAATTTGAAAAAACAAACCCTGGCATAGGAAATCTTTTTGTAATTACACGGACTTTTAAATAAAGACTGTCTCCTCTTCTAACAGTGCAAAAGCTTTGAAGACTTGTATACTTTGCCAAAAATATCAGCACTTTATTAGGACTAAGTAGCTTTCCCTTTATTTTTTCATTTGTTTTATTATTGTTTTACCCCTTGCACTGTTGTGTTTTCATTATATTGTGTCTTTATTCTGTGAAGTAAAGCAATATATATATATCCACACATATATATCCCAAGACTGTTGTGAGCGAGCTGAGTGCACGTACAAAGAAAACCCTAGCCTTCAACTTCGCACAGGACAGAGCTGAAGGTAAATACCAACTTTGTGACAATTCGTTAAGTCTTGTCTCTTGTCTCTACTTAAATAGAGATGAAGAAATGAACAGTTAAATACCTGAAGTCAGATTTTGTCTGGCATTATAATAGAAATGAAACTTAAAATTGTGATTAATAAAATCATTATTGATAAAAAAAAAACATCTAGTGGACGTGGACATACTAATGGAGGTATGGAGGACGATTAGGGCCAAAAAAAAAAGATTTGTTTGAGTTCTGACTAAACTCAATATTCTGAGAAAAGGTTAGAACTAAAATGATTTTATAGTGGCCCTAATTTTTTTAGGTTAAGCTGAAGAGGTTTTAAAAAATGCTCATACTTGAGGAGCTGATCCCAGCTCTGCAGATACGGCTCCAACAGGACATCATCATCGTCCGACAGACTGGACTTCAAATACAGCAGCAGACGCCAGGCCTGAAACAACTTGCCAGGACAGTCCTTTATGAGGGGCAGGGGTCCACCAGCCTCCAACCAGCCCTCAGGGGCCAAAGGAGGCTTCGCCTGGAAGAGCCAGTAAACAAAACATTTGCCTATACAGCAGCTTTTTATCTTAGACTGTCTACCTCCTTATCCTGAAGGGATTAGTATTACTACTAATACTACTGTTAGATGTCAGGAGCGAGGCCCTTTTTCAAAGTGAGGACATTTTGTTTCATCACACCTTCAAATAGCTGTTTCAGACTTGGTTTTAGGGCTAAAGTTAGAATCAGGTTTAGGTTAAAGGGCTGGCCATCAAGCTCCTACATAAACGACTTCCACTGGCCACAGTTTCGCTTATTTACCTAAGAAATTTTTAATGGTTTGGTATGTGTGTGAAAAAAGTCATGTGGTGACATAGACCACATAACAACTGATGGGTTTTGAGTGTTTGGCTAATAAATAAAAGCTTGAGAACTTTAGCCTTGTTCGTTGCTTATTTAAGGAGAAAAAGTCGGGGTTTCAGGGTCTTTAAGGTTCAAACTGGGAGTCAGTGTCTGTACTATGTTATTCAGGGTCCTCACAAGGATATAGCTACAAACACGTGTGTGATAGTTGTACCGTTTGGCGGTAAAAACTCAAACATGGCTGCCAGGCGGTGCCACACTCTCCGGCTCCACCCTGAGCTGAAGAAAGAGAGAAAATAAACTGGTTAAACAACACAAAACCAGTCAGTTTACAACTTTACAGTAAGTCGCATTTGTTCCCCAGTCATTTGGTGTACGAGGTGTACAACATTTAATGCTTTGTCGATCAGTTATAAGCCATTAATAAGAACTTTTAGGATGCCAAATTGTGGAAAATCCCCCTCCAGCACGACACTGTCTTTTATCTCTTTGATTCATCAAGCAGAGAAAACAGCTGCAGCACATCTGGAACATAATCCACCTGTAAGATCGTTTTAAACACAAATAACTGAACAACAATTTAACACCTGAATCTTAGTGCTTTTTATCAGTAACCACCTTCTGGTTGTTAGAGGAACTGGGGTGGTAAAGGTAGAAGACCCCCTGAAGGACTGTCACTACCTGCTGTAAAACCCAGAGAACCTGCTGGTTTCTGGATCTCACACCCGTAGACTCGTTAGTGCTTCTGTTTCCCAAACTGAAACCAGATTTCATCCTCTCCAGAATGTGGGATAAACTACATCACAGGGGTTTGAGTTTGTTAAGCAAGAAACAGATCAGTGTTAAACTGGACTGAACAGAGAATAAGGTTTAGTTAAGGCTCAGATCTGGTCAAAACGGAGTAAAAGTAAAAGATAAGAACAATAAAGGTTGAGCAGGCGAAGGATTTTCTATAAAATCTGTCAGATCAACTTCATCCACTGAGCCCGTATTTTAAATGTTCTTTATAAACAGCTGAGTGAGTGAACCAAACACTAGTGCAAAGCTGGGACATTTTGAAACAACGGGTCAATTTATTGATTAGCTGATGGACACTAATTTAATCACTAACTAATTTAATCAACTGCCAAAACTTCACTGGTTCCAGCTTCTCAGACATGAATATTTTCTGATTTTCTTCTGCGATAAAAAACCAGGCGTCTCTGGGTTTTGGTCACGATGTGACAAACTGACTTCATCTGTAAACGACAGACGTCTGACATTTTAGGATCGCATCAGTCCCAGCTGTCTTTGTGAATGTTCATCTTATACATGGCAGAAAAATCCATCATCTCCGGCTGAACTCCACCTAAACACTACTGTCTATCGATCTTCAATGACCATTAATCAGCTGTGTTAAAAAACGTCAGAACATGAATTCACAGTCAGTCTCCTGAAGCCACGTCTTCAAAAGCCAAAGAAATGGACTTTTACTGTCACATAAGGCAAAAGAAACAGCAGCTTCCTGCTCAGCAGTGACGTGTAAGACCAACATGGTTTTGTCTGTTGGAGCTGCTACTGTGTATTCAGGTAGGCCTGCAGTGGTTCCCAACCTAGGGGTCGAACCCCTCCAAAAGGTCATTAGATTAATCTGAAGGGTCATCAGATGATTAACAGAGAAAAAACAATGTTGTCACTCAAGAACCTGTTCTCTCTAAGACATGAAAGACAAAAGAAATGTGACAAGGAACCACAGCAAGGGGTAACCTCTGGCTGGATGAACCTGTTAGGGGGCCGTCAGTGACCCCCCCCCCCCCCTTTCAATACCTACCCTGCTGCCTTTACGTTCCTAACAAGTCCCGTGCTAAAACAATACGTGGTGTACTAGTTTGTTATCATTTAAACTCATATTTGTTTAAGGAACCTGCTCCACATGAGGACAATACAAACTAAAATAAAGGTTTCATAAAGAGCATCACCACACGACTAGGACAGATTAATAATGTGAGACCAACCTCAGTGGTGTAAATCACACATACTGTAGGTGGGTTCTAGGGCCCCTGTTGTTAATCCAGCCATGGTCACATGTCAGAAAGGTTGGGGGCATCGTACCTCATCTTAACAAATGTATCATACTTTATAAGATCATCAAATTACTAATGTGAAAATGAATTTTGATAATTACGCTGTCAAACGTAGCAGAGTCTAAGTATTAAGTGGTATAATATGAAAATACCCAAACAAGGTACTTGAGGTACTTTCCACTACTGAAAACTGAGCCAATGAGAGGAAGAGAGGTGGGGCCAACATGGCCGACCAGTTTCAGCGACACTCACGGAGCCAGGAGGAGCTGATGAAGAGGAGCAGAGCCAGTATGGCCAACAGCAGCAGGTAGCGAAGCAGCACTGTCCGTCTGAGGAGAACCATGACAACCACTGCACACAAAACACACACTTTCCCTGTAACTGCTCACTCTCTCACTGTTTACGAGCTTCGCTGATCATCACGTGCACGCCTCCCTCTGTCTCATGTTGGGGTTAAAGGTCGTTTTCTCACTCACACCCACAGGTAGAGGGAGTACAAACATTTCAGGATGACCTTTGCACCTGACATTCATCCTACAGGTCTTGATCACACACACGTAACGTCCTGAGGCCTGTTGGTCTGAGTCAGGTGGCACACTGGGGCCCAAAGACCGGGGTCACATCGCTCTTATGATGAACAAACATCTTAAGACACATTTAAATCATGGGTTTTCTGCAGTAATAACTGTATAGTGTTAATTCTTAACACCATCTATGACAAAGCCTCGTACACCAAGGTTCTTGAAGTCCAAAGTAACTTATGTTCACTGAGTCGCTCCTAATAAGACCCATGACGACTGAAGTCCTCATGTCGCCTGTTTCATTCCTCCTGATCGGTACAAGCACCAAACGAGCCAACAACCAAAGTCTGAGAAGACTTTTAGTTATTTCTTGAGGCCGACTCATCACTCTGCTCCTGTTGTCCGTGGATGAGGCTGCGCAGTGACAGACGTCAGTGAGCACAGCCTCAGACAGAGGAACTGGGGTGGTAAAGGTAGAAGACCCCCTGAAGGACTGTCACTACCTGCTGTAAAACCCAGAGAACCTGCTGGTTTCTGGATCTCACACCCGTAGACTCGTTAGTGCTTCTGTTTCCCAAACTGAAACCAGATTTCATCCTCTCCAGAATGTGGGATAAACTACATCACAGGGGTTTGAGTTTGTTAAGCAAGAAACAGATCAGTGTTAAACTGGACTGAACAGAGAATAAGGTTTAGTTAAGGCTCAGATCTGGTCAAAACGGAGTAAAAGTAAAAGATAAGAACAATAAAGGTTGAGCAGGTGAAGGATTTTCTATAAAATCTGTCAGATCAACTTCATCCACTGAGCCCGTATTTTAAATGTTCTTTATAAACAGCTGAGTGAGTGAACCAAACACTAGTGCAAAGCTGGGACATTTTGAAACAACTGGTCAATTTATTGATTAGCTGATGGACACTAATTTAATCACTAACTAATTTAATCAACTGTAAGCAAAACTGCCAAAACTTCACTGGTTCCAGCTTCTCAGACATGAATATTTGCTGATTTTCTTCTGCGATAAAAAACCAGGCGTCTCTGGGTTTTGGTCACGATG